AGCCTGCCTGTCTGCACCTGATCCTGTCTGCTCCTGTGCGTGACCACCTGGTCACGCTTTCGGACCCTGTCAGACTCTGAACCCTCCTGGGAGCTAGTGGATGCCTGGAAGTCTGGATCCTGCCTCCTGTTTCTGCTCCCTGTCTGTTCCTGTCTGTTCTGGATCCCTGACCATGTCCACATTCTAGGACTGGACTGTTAAACCAGGTAAGTGGCCAACTCAGATAATCATCTTCTGTCAAATGATCGTGGTCACTTACCTGTGTTTCTCCTGCAGAATGTCTAAGATTGGGCGGTGCCCCCCCCGGCAGTGTCCGTGAGCCACAGCTCCACTTTAGTTTTTGTTTTATTTAATGAACTTTTTGAACTTTCCTACTGACTGTCTCTCCTTGAATACTGGGTCCATCTGTCCGCGTTTCATGACATCATCATAGCACCTACTGCACACTCTGGATGTTGCTTACGAAGTGATTGCCAGGATAATAGAATGCAAATTTCCAGGTTTTATGTGAGTAGAAAACCTTTTCTTACTGTACTGTTTTGAGAATATCAATCTGGCCAGTGAAATATATATTAGCCTAACAGGAAACGGCCTTGATGAACTCAAGTTGTTTTGCTTCAATGTTCAAGGCGTGAGAAAGTTCTTTATGCAGGGGGTGGGTTGGTTCCCCTGGGGGGAGTGTGTGTGTTGAGAGTTGCTGTATAAACTTATGTACTGAGCTTTGCCCAGTCAGAGCTCTATCTCTCCGTCTGAGTATGTTAAATAAATTTGAACCTTTTTTCTTGCAAGAAATGCCTCGGCCTCTGCTTCCTAACTCCACAACACTAAAATATGAGGCATAGAACAAGGACCAATGCTTGATCAGAAAACAGCCAAACGAAGCCCCCTGCTGCTGTTTGGTCAGTTTTGTCGGATCAACAGTAATGATATCATGGGTAATAAAGGAGGTCTGAACTGCTGTGCTGAATCCAGACCTTCAGCTGTACAGATGTCATTATGAGACTGAAAAACACATGGATGATGCCAATCAAAATTGGACTACAGCCTTCTATCCAAAAGAACTACAAAACACAAAAGTTACACTAACATAGTTGTTAAAGATGGGCTCTGTGTATGAACCTTGAAGCTCTATCTCTCCGGTTCTTTTCTCTGAAAAGATTTCACTGGGGACAAACTCTTTAAATAATACTTCATAACTAAAATGTATTAAATAACCAAGAGACATGACAACATATTCTAATAGAAATTGTAATCTTACTGAGATCAGAGACGCTTCTTAGATTTTACAGAAGGCAGCTGCTCACCTCTGGGCTCACCTCTTAGGAAGTGGCCCCAATTAACAGTTAAAAAAGGCATTTTACACATCTTAAATCTGCAACATCATCATATTTTACATCGTACACGTTAGCAGATGAGGAGACATAAATTGCTCCAGCCTTATCAAATTATTACACTTTGTTCTTAGCTGAAGGACACATCTCTCATTCCATTTCCAAAGCTTTGCCACGTACAGAAATAAAATTATAACTATATTGAGACAGAGGAACTGTCCTAATTAGATGAACTATTGTGGAAAACATCAGTTCTAACACGCAACAGGCAGCTAATATTAAGGTGTAATAAACTCACACATCTTCAATGATAATTATCCTAACATAGTGAACAGCTTAAGCTCTCCGTTATGAAACCCAAAACATATGAAGGTCTTTACGTAAGCATGTTCTACACATTTATGTTTACCTATTTTAAATAAACTATGACTGGAAGCATTCTGCATTGTCCTCGTTCCCCATTCCTTACTGCCAGCCCTTTTTGGATAAAACTTATCACGGGAACCGCTGATGCGTTTCCATTTTGGCTAAAGAGTCCAAACTGATTTCCTGACTTCTGCTCTGATTTTTATTTTAACACTTAGTTTAAAAAGGATTAAGTCGGAAAAGCAAAAAAGGTTTGTTGTATGAAACAAGTCTGATATTTCAGACCCTGACACCAACTGGGAAGAATGTGTCAGGGTTTAGGTAATGACAGCAACCAAAACATACTCTGTTGTTTTTGGTTTGTTAGAAAATAATTTAATTATAAGTAACGGATGCTATAATTTTTGTTTCAGGGACAATTTAATCTGTTTAATTTTGTATGATAAATGAAAGTTTCATCAGAAATTAATATGTGAAAACTTCTTAATAAGGAGCCTAATTTCAAAAGGTGATAAAATGAATAAACAAGCCAAAGGGCTAATTCTGCTGAATTTACAGATAATTAATTTACACTGTTGTTGGAAAATAAACTACAAAATGAAATTTATCCTTCATCTTTTAATTGGTTTTGTTATAATATTCACATTTTGTGCAAATAGTTTTTTTTTAACATTCAATTATTATCATTCTTTTAGTTTATTCCTGCTTTCTGAGATATATAAACACCAGAGTTTGTCCTTGTGTAAAATTAATGCTGTGAGGTTATCTTGTTGTTTTAAATGCTGCTTCTCTGCAACAGATGGAGCTGAAAGGATGAATTTTAATCTGGCAACGATTTGCTGGCTCTGCAGCAAGCAGGGAAACTTTCCCAGGGTGACCCAGGGAAACCTGACTTCCTTTCTTCCACATGGCTGCCCCAGCGCTCGGCCAGCCTGCTCACCGTCCACTATGTTGAGGATGAGTGCCAGCACAGGCCCGCTGGACGGGGCGTCTGGAACATAGATGGTGTATTCCCCCACGTTCAGCTTCAGAGGGTTCTCGTTCAGCACCGGCTGGTACTCCAGGAGGTCATCCAGGGTGATGATGCCACCTGGAACAGGTGAAACAGTAAGAAACAGATTTCAAGTTGGGATTTCCTCTGACAGAAGAGGATGAAGGCCACTGGAAAACTTTTTATTTATTTTTTTCTATTGGAGTTTAATGTGGGAAAAGGCAGAATTCTGACCTTAATCTCAGAATTCTGTTTTTTTTTTCTACAGTAGAGGATTGGAGCCACTGGGGGGAAATTATTACTGATTTATTTTTTTTATTTGAGTATTTTTAATGGGAAAAAAATCAGAATGATGACTTTTTACCCTCAAATTAAATTAGTTTTTTTTTTTTTTTTTTTTTTTTTTTTTGGTGTTTTAGTTTTTTTCCAGTGGCCCTAATCCTCTTCCATTGATATGTATGGTTTTTATATTATGCAAATAAGTTTCCAGTCATCTGAAGATGTGTCAGAAAGTGTGAAATTGTATCAGAATAAATCTATTGAAAATAAATTGAAAAAAAAAAAACGACCCTGTCACCTGAGAACTTCCAGAAATATTTAATTTTGCTCACAATACTTAATAAAGGAAATATGAGCAAAACAGATTTTCTGGGAAAATGTGATATTTCGTTCACATTAAACACAATCCCGGTCATTTATTTCTTTTTGCTTCATTGGATGCTGAGATTTTAACCAGCAATTCTTGTTGCCAAATGGCAGCCTGCCTCAAATCGCTACACTCTATCATCAAATAGAAGCTGCTTCTTGCCTGTTTCTACTCAACCGAGCGTAACTTCCTTTCTACAAGAGCTGAATTCTGACTTCATATCCAACAGCAATCTCTGTCATCGACTGGAAATATCACAAATCAATGCTGGACTTTTAAGAAAAAATATAGCAGTAGCTGACAACTGATTAAACATGTAAAAGTTAATGAATATTCATTGAAGCCTCAGAAATAGTGAAGCTAATGTTAGCTTAGTGCAAATGAAGTTTCAGTTTTTACTTCAATCATTCTATAAAGGCCTGACATATTTCTACTGCTGTCAGGACACATTTATTTAAAGTCATTTAAATAATGAAGACTTTGCTTCCAAATATATATATATATATATATATATATATATATATATATATATATATATATATATATATATTCAGGGCCTGGTGGCATTGAATCTGCACACATAAAATGTTCAAAATGCAAGTGTTTTATAAATAAAGCTTCTGTGTGCACTTTTTGGCAGCATTCAGCACACATTACAGAAATCCTAACTACGGCGCCAGTGTCGGGGTCCCAGGGACCACCAAATCATCCAGAGAGGCTCCCAGCTCAAGGAGTCCAGGAGCTACGGCTGGATCCACCGTATTTGGTCTGTTCAAGACCTTAAACTGTGATCCGGCTTCAGAGGAGGATTATGGGGAAAAACAGTCCGTCTATCATCTTAATCAAAACAGCTCCTTAAAAAGCCACAATTAACACTAAAAGGCATTCCTTATGTCATCTTTCTAGACATTCATTTTTCTATGTGAACTTAGTTTTGTTCTCCTTTCATCACCTTCACATTTCTGGGTTTTTATTCACTCTATTTGTGTCATTATCGTTTGGTGAACTCTCCATAAATAGTGAACACAGACTTTCTATTTCCCTGTGGTATAAAGCAGAATGGTGAGGAAGGGGAAACTAGCTTCTGTAGATAAACTGCTGCAGCAGAGGCCTTCTTTGGGTCACCAACTTATTTTAACAGCCATTAAATGCTATAAAAGCAGTCAGTATTGAGCCCTGCAGGGCAGCATGGATGCCAGGAAACACAGATTTTTGAGGGTTGACAAACTGAAAATGACCAAATTGACAAAGAATGATTCACTAGATATAAAAGCAACAGTGTTTTACTAAAGTTTCAACTTCTAATCCAAAAAGAACAGAACAAAGGAGGGAACCCAGACCTCCGGATGCTGCTGAAAGAAAAACCTTCTCTCTGTCTCCGCCATCCTTGTGATTGAAATTGTGAATAAGTTAATCAAACTACTGCAACTAATTCTGATGTAATTTAAACCCATGTTTTATTAGTGGTTTTCAAATAAAAGGGATGTATTTGTTGCAGCTCTTTTAAACAGTTTAAAGAGTTGATCACCTGCTGCCTGGATGTCCTCCACGATGGTCTGGGCCATGGTCCCGTTATAAAACACATCAGGCCCCTCCTCCGCTATCCTCTGATATGTGTCAGCCAGCTTTGGGAATCTAACGATATCATTTTCTTTCAGGATTCTCTTTTCAGAGTCACAAAATATCTCACTGAAAAAAAGACAAACATAAAAAAGACAAAAGTGTCTGAATATGGAGAAAACTGAAGACAATCAGTGAAGACAAAGACAGTGCAGCAGGAAAGCTTTCAGTGACACAGAAGACAAGGCTGTTCCAAGGGCAGATTATTTCATCACACAGTCATAGAAAAAACAGAAATCTGATGAAAACTGCTTCTATTTATTAGACACAAAGAATTAATGTTACATTTTAAGGAGTGAAATTAATATTATGAGTAAAAAATAAAACTGAACTTTGTTATTTAAACTTCTCTCAGTCCTTCACCTAAAGCAAAACATCTAACATCTCAATACACATAATTAAACTGCTGCGTTATTTATCTATCTTAAATAACGAGTTCATGATGTTGGAATGCAATTTGTAAACAAATAATGGTTAAAAATGTGACTCAGTTTGTCGGTTTAGAAAAGAGCAGATTCTTAACAGCCGCCATTTTGGACTAAACACAAAACCAACCTTATTTCACTGAAACTCTTTAGCATGAATGATAAAATGCTTTATAAAACAGATGCTTTATATTAATGTAAAATAATGCATTGTAAGGTTTAAGGTTATTGGGTTGCATTAGTTGATGGTAAGCAAACTCTCGCTTCAGAAACAGATGTCAGACTGCAAGATGGTAATAAAACAAAAAGGAAGCTCAGTAAACAAATGGTTGCTATAGGAGTTACTAAAGGTTTATTAGTGATTTAAGGCTTGTTAGCAGTGCAATGCATTGTGGGAGTGATGGACGCAGAGACTCTAAATTAGCAAGATATTTTTCTTATCAGCAAAACCTCAGCAAAAAGTAGTTTATTCAAGTATACTAGAAGTGCACTAATTTCATTCTTAAAATAAGGCAGGGCACTTAGAGTTAACTTATTCTAAACTATATTTCATATATTTAGCAAAAGTATAGTCAAGTGTACTTGACTTACACTGAGAAGTATAAAAAGTGTTTACGAAAGTGTACTTTAAGTATACTTTAGTAAACTCAAAAATTTCCTAATTTAGTATACTTCAAGTGTACTACTTTTAGCTAAGGGCAAGACAACAGGAAAAACAGTTTCCTGCATTAAATGAATAAGGTTATTTCAAGGCAACAATGAGCAAAGCAACCTTAAAGCCCAATTTCCACAAAGATAAAGAAAGAATAATAAGGAATGCAGTCAGTTCGCTGTGATGGAAGTGGTGTCTGATGCATCTTATGCTACGTTCAGACCGCAAGCAGCAGGAGCAGAAAAAATGCACGCTGCTTAATTTTTTATGCTTGGTTCTGACGCGCGGCTGAAGCATCTTTGCTGCTTTGGCTATGCGATGGAAAAATGGGTCTGATTCGCGTTGGCAGAGCTACCCTATCCTTTCTTTGCCTGGAACAATGGCAGCCATACTTGCTGCGATCAGTGGGTAAAAAGTAGTTTTAATATGTTTTTAAGTGAGAAAGTCCACATTAAAACTTAATCTGTGCAGTCAGTTCATCAAGATTACCATCCTGCCTTCAAATATTATTTCACTGTCAGAAATACACCGTACACTGGTGGTCTGAGCGGCTGTATGGCGGTTCGCTGTCACTAGGAATCCCGTGCAACAGCAGCCTCTGGCCAGGCTGCCTCTTCACGGTTTTCTGCTACTGTTTGCAGCAGCTGGAAGGTGTTTTTCCTGTATGTAATCCAAACTGTGGGCACAGAAATAATAAAAGCAAACATATTTTGCCGGCAGGTTTCAACATTTTAAGTTAATTTAAGTTAACTGTTCATTCATAGGAGTGATCACAGCGATTTGCATCAGCAGTGCTGTGTCTGTCTCCCTGCCAGATCAGCTTCTCTGATTGGTTGATGTGGCGCGTTGAGCAACAAAAATTTCCAACTTCGACAGCAGCTGTTTCTGAAGCGCGTCAGATGCTCAGACACTCAGCTTTGCTGCTGGAACTTTTACTGCACCTTAATGTGCGTCAACAAAAGACTTTGCATGTAAACTAGCTGCTTCTGCTGCCTCTGCTGCTTGCAGTCTGAACATAGCATTAATGTTACAAAAGCAAGCAAGTGTAGTTCATAAACTAGAGCAGTGGCTTTTATTCCTGCACTCAAGTACCGCTGTCCTGCATGTTTTCTTCTCGCTGCCACACACCTGACTCATATAAAAGAATCTTAAACAGGCTTCTGCAGCACTGGATGGCTGCTGAGGATGTCATGCAATCAAACAGGTCTGCTTCAACAGAGATCCCTGCAGGACACTGGAACCTGAGAACTACTGGACCGGGTAGAGATCCCAGAAGCAGGTTTTTATCTTCTCTGTATCAGTATTTGCAGGCCATCCCAGCACGTTGTCTTCAATATAGTTTACTATCACATGTAATCATAATTAGTTAAGCAAAGCAATCTTTTTCAAGGTAAATATAACAAAATGTAATTATGACAAAAAAAAAATTGATTAACTTGTTAGCTTCTTACAGACAAACACCCAGTAGCTCCTGCTGGTCGTGAGGTTGACAGCTTTGTTTTTCTTTTTATAGTTTCTAATTTTGGTTTAGAAAATACAGATTTTTGCACATTTAAGTGCAATAATGCAATTTATTTACATTTTTGATAAGACCGAGATCAAAATGATTTTTTGGATTGATCACAGATTGTAAGGCTTAATTTTTTAAGGTTTAAAGGACATTTTTAAGTGTAACGTGTCTCTGAATCGTATGTTCCCCACTGACAATGTATGCACTGCAAAAACTGATCTAAAAATAGGTAAACATTTCTTAAAATAAGTGTAGTTGCTCAAAATTTGTCTCATCAATAAGAATATCTGCCAATGGAATCAATATGTGTTTCCTTAAATTAATGAGATATTTTACACCTGAAATAATATGGATTTTTTTTTTCTTTAAAATCTTATTTCAAGAAGAAATTACTTGCTTTATATTTACGTTTTTGCACAGCAGCCTTTTATGAGGTGAATTTTTGATCAATGTTTCCATGTCTGCTTTGCCTTCCTAATGGAAAATAATCCATGCAGTGCTGTGGGAGGATGCCATCCACTGATTGGTCAATTACTGCTCAGCCTCCAGGTTTGACTGACAGATGGCATCATGTCAAATATTAGCCTTTTAGCTGAGCTAAAGCTGTCGCCTAGAAGCTTCTGACACTCTTTGAATGTTGACCATAAAGTCAGAATGATTCCAACACTGTAAAGAAACAATCTGCTGTTCTGGGATTTTTGGTTCTGTTTAGTTTTTACTTTGATTTTTCAGTAAGGCTTGGATTCATTTTATTCTGTTTTTACTGTTAAGAATTATATCTTTATTAATTACTTCTTAGTTTTTCTATTCATGTTTGGTGGTTTTTCAGTGTTCTCCAGTCCATTCCCCTATTCTCTAGTTTTCCGCTTGGCTATTATTCATTTTCTACTCATTGGTCTTATTTCCACTTATTTTCTGGTTTTAGTTAAGCCCAGTTTACTCTTTGTTGCCCCTCTCTTTTCCCCTTAGCTGCTTCTGTCAACATCTGCTCCCAATTAGCTGATTACTCCACTCATTGTTCTGTCTCCCATATAAACTCCTCCTCTGCAGCTCCTCTTTGCAGGATTCTCTTCATTCTTCATGTATATTTCACCTGAGCTTCTTCTAGTTTTGGTTCCTGACTTCCCTGCCTGTTATTTCTGGTTTGTTTCTGTTTACCTCACTATCAAAACAGCAAGAATCCGTATCTGCGTTTGGGTCATCACAAATATCCACTAGTTGGGAAACTTAACTGGCAGCAACTAAATAGTTTTGGATTTATGATTTATGACTCCTTGTCCTATTTTCACTACATGGGAGAGATCCCCTGCCCCGTTTAACAGTTTTTTTTAAATGTAACTAAGTAACTTTTACTTAAAATACATTTTAAATTAGCTACTTATTACTTTTACTTGAGTAATTTTTCTGATGGGTAATTTTACTTGTACTTGAGTAATATTTCATCCAAGTACTGGTACTTTTACCTGAGTATGATATTTTAGTACTTTTTCCACCTCTGCTAAACAAAAACAGAAAACTCAAAATGACTAGATTTAAGTTTAAATCCAAAGCCGAAAATGTTAGCTCCCGGAAGTAGCGTAGGATTCCATTTCCGGTGCAGATTGGGCAGAGACGAGTGATAAAACTGAAAGGATTTTAAGGCATATTTCTTCTAAGGAAATACATTATTAACCTTTAAAACAATATATTTTAGTATTGTTGCTATTTTTGGGGAGGGAAAACATCATTTAGGTCTTTTTAACAGAATAAAATTGAGGATGACCCGGATGTATATCTGGATGCGCATCCCGATAGCGCATGTGCAGAAGAGATTGTTCTTCCGGGACGGATAAGGTAGAGACAAGCCCCAGGGCAGCTGTGGCTACAATGTAGCTTACCCCCATCAGTGTGCACATTAATCGGTGAATGACTGAATGTAGTGTAAAGCACTTTTGCCAAGTGGCTTAAAAAAGCGCAAAATAAGTGCAGGGCATTTACTATTTATATGTCTAATAGAACAACGTCCCTCACCACATGTTGGCGTCTCCCTGAATGGACTCTTTGCTCTTTAGGAGGGCGTGAGCCAGAGCCTTCCCGATGGGAAACCCCTCCCGAGCCATGGCGATGCTGGGCTCAAACAGCTCCTTCCAGGGAAGCCTGCCGTGCCGTTTGTGTGCCATCTCATAACCCCGGATCTCCCCAGGGATGGCTATGGATAATCCACCTGTCATGCAAAACATGTTATCTCTTTTCTCAAACATTTCTGATCTAGTAAAAGCCCAGGAACTGTTCTACATCTATATTTAACATCTTATAGTATTACTTTATCAGATATGGCAGAGAAATGTTATAGAATATAGACAGATTATTCCTCAGAAGAAGAAGAAGAATCTATCCACCCTAAATCCCTCCCTGGCTGGAAGAGATTATTGAGGATAGAATAAAGTGAAAATGTAATCCCTTGCTGGAAAATGTTCTGAAATCAAAGCGGTGGGTACCTGTACGAGAAAGCTTAGTGTTGTTTCCAAACATGTCCTCAGAGGCGTTCATGGGGGCTGTCTCCCTCGCATCGATTGTTTCCACCTTTCCTGTTCAGTCAGGAGTTTTAAGATGTTTGTTTATTCCTCTCGGCACGCTGTGACCCACTGACCTATGAGACACACTCACCCGTGGAAGCATTGTATATTATAAAGTACAGCCCTCCCCCGATGCCCATACTGTGAGCGTTCAGAAGGCCGACACATAACAGCGCAGCGATGGAGGCGTCCACAGCCGAGCCGTTTCTCTTCAAAATGTCCCTGGAAATACAAGAATGCACTTAGCCGGGAAGAAGAACACACAGAAGAAAGGCACTCACCGTTTGTCTTACCTCCCCACCTCTGAGCACTTTCCAGCATCTGCAGCCACGGCAGCCTTCGGGTAGAAGTGGTCTGAAGGGGGGGGGGAGTTTTTCCTCCCTAAGCCCATGAAGACCCCCAAAAACAGGCTCACCGCAGCCACCAGAAGGACCACCAGACCAGCAATCATGGACTTCCCAACCATTTTCCTGAGAGAAAACGCGTTAATTAGAGAGGAACCTGCGGCTCAGGTGCATTAGGCCTTCCTTCGTTCGTCGCCGACGGTTACAGACAGGTTTTTACCTCGCTCACCTTTATGGGATGTTTAACAGGCTGATAGAAAACCTAGAAGTGAGGAAAAACAGCTCGAGCTGTGATGGTGAGCTGTCAAAGAGGACTGAGATAAGTCCCTGGGTGTGTCATCTATGGTTTCAGGTGTTATTCAGCTCAGTGACGTGCTGCGTTAATTAATTATACGCTGCGTTCAGGCTGGAAGATGAGGGATAATGACATATTGAAGGATAACAATCATCGCAGCTTCTTTCATAACTCTAAAAGCTAAGATTCTGAATCACGTCTTCACAGATATCTGAGGTAATTCAGGTTTATTTCACCATTTTTCAGAGAAAAGCATGAGTTCCCCAACTGATGGATGGCTCTTTCCTCATTATTTTCGAGTAAAACTCCCAGGTTTGCCCTCCATCTGCTTCTCTATCACCTTCCATTTTGCTCTGATATCAATCTGTCATAGTTTGCCAAAGTGAAGGTGAGCTTGATCTATTCACAGTCCTGACTCTGCTTTCTGTGTGATTTGTGATCTTCAGCTCCAAACTCTGCAGCTAATGCAGAGGCTGCCAGAGGTATTCAGACCTCTGGATCTCTCTATCACAGCCTTTAAAGTGTTTCATACACATTTTATATAATAGATTAACACTAAACTACTTTCTAGAAAGTAAGCCTACATTAATTTACCCTCCCCTCTACCCTGACACCCCTCACTGCAAAAATTTTAATCTAAATAAGTAATTTTTTCTTAAAATAAGTGCTTTTTTGCTTGAATTGATGAGGTAAGTGAGACACATTGCCAATGGAACAAGACAATTTACATTTAAAATAAGAAAAAGCAACTGCATTGTCTTATTACAAGTGCATATTATCTAATTATCTTATTTTAAGAGTAAAAATACTAATTCTATTGGCAAATCATCCCATTTACCTTCTAAAATTAAGGTAAAATACACTTGATTTAAGAAATTTCTACTTATTTTCAGATAGTTTTTGCAGTGTTAAAAGACTATTATGAACACAAAGAAGTGTCTGTTCTTGTCAAATTAAAGAGTTGGCAAGGAGATCGTTATCCAGGCGGCCAAACTGCAGCTTTGATGGACCTGCAGAGATCCGCAGCACAGGTGAGGGAATTTGTCATCAGAACAACCATTAGTACTTCTTATTCTTATTTCTTATTCTTATTTTTTATCTTTATTATATTGTATAGTTGGATGTGTGTATATATTATATAAAACTGTAACTGGAGCGTGTAACAAAAGTAATTTCCCTCTGGGATTATTAAAGTATTTCTGATTCTGATTCTGAGTACACTAGAAGACGTTATATTTTTCTTTAAATCTACGTAAATGATTTGCCTAGATTTCTGAATTCTTAAACCAGAAAGTTATGAACGTAAGTTATAACATACACTGGAGAAAAAACAAAAAACAAGATATAAGCAAAAATGTCTTAAATTAAGTGCATTTATCCTTAATTTGAGTAGGTAAATGAGGTCGTTTGCCAACGGAAGGAGCATTTTTACTCTTGGAATAAGATAATTTGATAACATGCACTTGAAATAAGACAATATGATGGCGTTTTCTTATTTTAAACATTGGCAAAATGTCTCTTTTACCTCCTTTAGAAAAAATGACTTATCTAGATTTCAATTTTTTCCAGTGTAGTAACAATCAAATCACAAACCTGAATTTATGAACACTAAGGAGAAATGCATAAATACAAATAACTGATGTATCAAAAATTTATTACAAATTTATCAAAATAGATCAAATCTATAAACGTGAAATTACAAGCAATGAGCACAAATTAGAACTTTATGAGCGATTTTTCCTCAACATAGAACAGCAGTCAGCAACAGCATGATGATGATGTTAGATTGATTGGATTTGTTTTATTGGCTGATATCAGACTGATATCTGAAATCGATGTCGGAATCAGGAAATCCTTATTTTCTTTCCCAAGAATGATCAAAGTCAGCCTCTGTTTTGCTCCTGTCCAACCACCTACATTTCTGCCAGTTTTCATCCACCCTTCACAGGTGATTAATAGTTTTACAGCTTTTTAATCCTCATCTGGATATTAGCTTGTTTTTACGTTTAACTTCTCCACACTGGAAAAAGGATCTAAAAATAAGTAGAAATGTCTTAAATTGAGTGTATTTACGCTTAATTTGAGTAGGTACATGAGATAGTTTGCCAATGGAATGAATATTTTTGCTCTTAAAATAAGAAAATTAGATAACATGCACCTAAAATAATACTATGCAATTGTGTTTTCTTATTGTAAGTGTAAATTGTCTTGTTCCATTGGCAAAATCTCTCTGATACCTACTAAATCCAAGAACAAATACAGTTATTTTAAGAAAAAACAACTTATCTAGATTTCGATTTTTTTCCCAGTGCACCGTTCTGCCTCAGCCTGCCTGTCTGAGCATTGTTCCTTCCAAGCTCCACACTTTTAGCACTACTTCAAATTTCTACTTAAGTAAAAAGGAAAAGGAAAAGCAGCCGTTTAAGAAATGACTCAAGTAAGAGTAAAAAAGTATTTATTAAAAATGCTCATCAAATATTTCCTGTTTTAGTTTCTCAATCAGTCTGGAAATCAGACAGATGATGAAATAAAGTTATCTGTCAGTTTATTTTGTTTTAAGGACTAAAAGAAAAATATTTAATGCCAATTAAAAAAGGGAAATAAACTCAGGCAGAAGAAACACTTCTCTAAAATAACATATAAAGACTTGAAAGAAAAAAGATTTGAAAGTCTTTGGTGTGAACATTTGGGACATATGTATGTATGTATGTATGTATGTATGTATGTATGTATGTATGTATGT